TGAACAGCCCCTTCCATCTCAATGTTGTTTAGGATGGGAATTTCAAATTTCAAAGCCAGTGCAAGACTTAATGCAAGACTCTCTTATAAGTCTTGCATTTTGAATCTCAATATATATGTGCGAGGAATTGAGAACGAGAAAATATTTTATATGTTCCTAACTTTAACAGTTTTTCTTTCCTTGTCTTCTTCGTCCGTGTGTTTAATGTAATTGGTTTGCTTTGCATGAATATGTGGAAGAATGGTGTGCATAACAGTGGTATTTATCTTAATTACAGGATAATCTGGTAAGTTCGTTTGCATTGTAAATTAGCTAAATATTTGAAAATTTATTTGATTCCCAAGAAATTAAAGATCCATGCTTAGGAAATGATTCTTTCATATGAATAAGTAATAGGTTCTGAAACTTTTTAAGCTTTTTTTGTAAACCCTAAGCATAGAAGTAAGGCACACTCTACAGAGAATCCATCTGTAGAAAGTAAGGTCTGTACTAGGAAAAGAACATAATGCTTATTTTTTCAACTTGTTTTCTTATGGGAATTAACGAATTTTGCAGAATAATGATGTTTATTTGGAAGCACAAATCCAGAATACTTCTGAACTACCGATGGTTCTGGAGAAAGTAATTCTGGAACCATCCGACTTCTACATAAGTTCTGAAATCTCACCTCCTGAAATAGAGTATTCCTTTTTTATTAACTTATTTTTACTATTTCTTCCACCTTCCATTATTTTTCCTCATGAACAGCAATATGCTTTGCACAGAAAAATTTCCTGCGGAATTCACTTACAGACTTGCGTCACTATTGAAGATATTAGTGTCTCATCAAACATTTGTGTTGCTTTCGAAATGTTATAAACGAAAATATGGTACAAAGCATGCTATTTTCAGGACTACAATAGTACGAGTTAATTATATATTAATTCCATGTAAGTGATCTTTAATTAATGAAGGTAATATCTCTAGAAATGAAAATATGGAGCAGTCTTACCTCAATCCAAGTGATATTCGACAGTATCTGTTTTGCCTGAAACCGAAAACAACAGATTACTCCCTTAACTATTTTAGGTATGCCTCATTAAAGTTTCATTTTTGTTAAACAGATATTTCATTACATGGCGAAATATGGTTAGATTAAAAATAAATTTGATAAAGTAATCATTTACAGTGAATTCCAAGGAAGTTTAGCAAACAGGAATTGCAAGATAGAGATATAGGATTTTCGGAACCCACTTATTGAAATTTACGTATGGGATGATGCTTATGAAAGATTTCATTGTCCGGCTTTGTCTTTTATTCATTTTTGTTAAACAGATATTTCATTACATGGCGAAATATGGTTAGATTAAAAATAAATTTATTTTTATGTCGTATTGACTAGTCTTAGTGAAAACTGAAATAGTAGTAACAAGTATAATATTTTTCTGCCGTTTGAGGAAAGGGATAGCAATTGGGAAACTGGATATGGTTTGGAGGACCAGCATGGGAGAAAGAGGCCGCCTACAAACCAGTGCTCTGCAACGAATGGTTTGTTGCATTTGTCCCGATATTCGTTATATTTATTCGCTATTTGGCCAATATTTAACTTGCAGAAGTTCAAGATAGTTTAAGAAGCTTACAGATAGTTTAACAAGATAGGAAATACATTTATTTCCAAAATTTAAATTTCCAGGCTCCTGGGTATGGTGATTTGCGACTGACGATTGAAAAAATACCAGCAACGGTGAAAGTCTTGCAACCATTTCATATAGTATGTCGGCTTCATAATTGCAGGCAAGCTTCTTCGCTGGGAAAATTTACCTGAACATAGTGCAGCGTTGCTTGTTTTCTATTAATTCATTTCATATTGTTAATTTCTTAGCAATTCAAAATCTAAGATGTAGTTTTTGTTATATGTTAGGACTTTGAAATGTTGAATTACAGTTTCAGTGAACGACCATTGGATTTAGTGCTGACTTTAGATGATAAACTGCAACCAAATATTGCGTTTTGTTCAACTAGTGGTGTTGAGTTGGGGCAGTTGCCACCAAACAGTACTACCGATTTTTCCCTAGAGTTATTACCGCTAACTCCTGGATTGCAAGTATCTTTTTACCAATTTATTAAATGAATTAAATTTTAAATTGCAAGCTAGTGCAAGAAAGCATTAAGAATGGAATTCGGTTGTAATAAGTATATGGAAAATGCGTTGCACTTAATCCATCTACTTATTTTGAAACGTTGAAATATTTTACAACAAGGGATTCGTTATGTAGGATGATTGCTGTTTTCCAGTATGAATCACAGACTTATTTCTGTATTAGTCTTGATGGAATTTTCATTTGATGAAAACAAAAATCTATTGATTTATGCAACCCCCAACTGTTATTAATCTTATGCAACACCATTCCTGTGAGGGGATGCACAAGACCTTAGTTGTTTAAAGTTCTGCAACTTCAAACCTTTAAATCCTTTCAGGTCATCACGTTTTGGAATATAATGGCCTCGCTTTACGTGATTTTTGTTTTCATCAAGTCTTTTGAGCACATCATAACATCCCCTTTTTTATTTACTATTTTTTATCGTTTCCCAGTCTGATGATAAATTTCAATTATAGTCAGTTTCCGGTATTCGAGTCACGGACACATTCCTGAGGAGAACATATGAACATGATGATATTGCTCAAGTGTTCGTGGCGTAGTTTTTGAGGGCTATCGTTACATTACTTGTAATTTATTAGTAAATGGTTTGCTGTCGCGTATTGTGAATATCATAACTGTGTGTAAAACAGAGGTTATGAAATTGCAGACTTGTCTATTTGTCATCTCTTACTTGTTGAGATTGATACTTATTAATATGGTAGAAGTGGATACGGGAACTATCAAAAAAGTCGCATTGGACGTATTTGAAAGAACTGTAATATTTCCAGGAAGCCTTATTTTAAGAATTCTGTAACTTCGTTTCAACTTTTTCAACAAACTCTTTTGAAAAGGGGTGATTATTAGATTATGAATTGTATGAAACATTTCAAAAAAAATCTGTTTTTGTTAGGAACCATTACCGGAATTAGAAAATCCAGTCAGCTTTCTCAAAGTTCGTTTTGAAATTGCTAATTAATGTATGAACGTGCAGACTGTCAAATTTATATATCGGGATTGCTTGAAGGAAAGAATAAATATGAAAATGACGTTGTCGTGAATGTCATCACTGGACACGCACTTTGCCAGATCTGAAGACACTAATTTGGCGTCCGGTGGTTCTTTTCTAATTGTTTTTTTAATTATTTACAAGGGAAAACAAATAAGAAATTTTATTTGCCCAGAAAAAATATATTTCACAAAAGGGATATGAGCATAGATGCAAAACAGGAACTTAGTATAAACAACGGAATAAACTTCTCAGACAACCGAAATCGATCAGTGGTCGGCTAATAATACATGAGATAACAGAAAACAGACAGGGAACGACTAAGAAAGTTTAATTTTATAGAAGCTATAAATAAAACTTCCGAAAAACTGTTTTCGATATGGGAACGTTGCTTAAATCTGCACAAGCTCAAAGTGAAAGCCGCACTAAATTGAAAAGAACTTGAACCACGTTTAAAGCATATTTCTTCCTTCGGATCCAGCATTTCCAAAAGTAGGAAATCTATGAAATCGTGAACCTGACACAGGCACGAGATCTGTGGTAATTAGGGATAGAAGTTAGCTACCACAAATACATGAAAAACATCCCAATTCCATATTAAACGGAATAAATGACAATTCTTTTCTTTAAAAAGATAGGAAATTGCAAAAAAATCAATAACCGACTAATCCATGCAGAGGGCAAATCGCAATGTTATTCAATTCGAATTTGGCCTAATCGAAATATCGGCATTATCACGTCCGACATCACTCATGGTACTTCTGCTGGACGAAAACGCCGTATCAGATGTAAGCAAAAGATGAGGAGATGCAGCTGAAAAAATAAAAAATTGTGAAGAACCCAAGAATGATCAATATTTTTCACTAACAAAGACTTTCCCTAATTTTAACGCAAAACTTCCGCATGCAACGCTATCATAATGATGCCTCTGGCTTCACTTTTTACACGGTATTGTCAGTAGCCATTTTGATTGGCAAAGACTGCTACTAACCTTGTCCAGATAACGCACTGAAATCAACCATAACGTTATCAATCAGTGTTTGCAAGTATTCTGAAAAATCAACATCACTGAATTAAGGAATTTTCCATTAATAACCATCCTAATATTAATTTAACTTGAGTTACTCGGAAATCCAAGCGAACAACTTTCTAAAGAACAGAGCGAACTTTTCATGTTGAAATAATCTCTCCATGTTGAGTTTGGTTGCTTGAGTACATCTTCCAGTTCTTGAATAAACTGCCTTATATGTTTTATTCTATCATCGAATGGACCACCTTCCGGAACATACATCCATTCTGAGTACAACTTTTCCACATAATTCTTTTCCGAAATCATAAGCAAATGGTCATACTGCGTTTTCAATTTGTCCATTTTTGCTGGTCCACTCAGCGACGCCTCCTTTCGAAATGCTACCTAAAATTTGTCCGTTTTATTCAGAAAAGAATGTAAAATTACGGCCATAGAACCCTCCTTAAATCGCATGAAGTAGAAAAATTGAGTTTTTTCTCAAAAACGGAGTTGTACAGAGACTTACTATTTCATACTTATGAGGAATACAAAGGTATATGGAATTTTCTTGTACTTAATAGACATTTTTCAGTAGACAATAGACATTTTTTTTGTGAGCGGCAAGGGAAAAATTGGTTTTGATTGAACAATTAACAAAACAGGTATATAGTTCTTCTCTTCTAAAATGGAAAGCGAAAGACGAAAAAAACTAAGAATGGATTCCTTTATATAGAGCAAATCGTGTCATCATTCAACTTGGACCGACTTCAAAACTTACTCAAAACATTGCTTGAACAACTCAAAACATTGCTTGGACAATTTAAGACAACTAGTGTATTTAAGCATCAAATAGTTCAATTCTATGATTAAGCGAAAAGAAGCCAAATAATTTCTCCACTTACTTGTCGCCAGGGACCACAATCCCCATCTTCATTCTGTTCTCCGGAAGTACTTCTAGACGCGATATTTTGAGAGCTACATGGTCCGGTATTTGACAAACGATTGCTAGAATCATTCGAGTAAATGCTTGAGACACTGTTGTGGTTTACCAACAGTTGGTTCGAACTACCATTATCATCCGGATATGTCAATAAATCGGTGGACGATATCTGTTTCTGTTGTACAATTTCTGGCGATATTGATCGCTGCTGTTCAGTTGTACTTTCTGTTTCCTTAACAATTTCTATTTGATAACAAGCAAATCTTACAACAACCGTCATGCAAAAAATTAGAAAAAAGGGTGAAATTTCCAAGAACTTTTCTAACCTTGCTCTTGTTTTCTTCAGTAGTTACTTGTCCGCTTGTTCCAGCAATCTAGGAGGCATGAAATCCATGAAAAATACAACGAAAACTATAAATTCAATTTAAAAGCCAAAACTATTTTCCAGAAACATTAGCAGACTAAAAAACAAACCTTGCGATTCGTCCATAGTTCATATACACGTCTGCTTACTTTTTTAGCAGTACCATTTTTCCAAGTGCCGATATATCGAAACACATCACGCACTATTCCATCACATTCACATTTGAATTCATGCTCAGCTGTTACGTCAACTAAATCTAGATCCAAAAGCCTGCAACCCGATATTATAATATTTTCATTCAATGATAACACCCGAGGACGGCTTAGAGCACTTTTTGTTTCAAATTACCAATGAGGAAACGGTGCATTTTGAAAAATTTAAATATGTATCAACTTCTGTTTGATACAAATATGTATTTCTCGTTGCTAACTAATCAGCCATGTGCCATTTAACACCATTTAGCATACGGTATAACATCAAAAAGCATATAACACAGAGTGTATCGTTATAATAAATGAATTTCAACATTGCAACTATACTACTCATCAAACTAAATAAGAATCCAGTGGTGGAAAGATGAATTCCAAATTAACAAAATAACAATCTATACCTTAGTTTTTGCGGAGTTGAAAATACCGTTAAAAGAAAAGTAACTAACACAATTATTTCCAAGCCAGACGATAGTGGCACAAAAGCAGAATAATATGTCCATCAAAAATTAAGTTTAACTCACATTCCGTCATCAGTGTTTGAGGGCCAATAATTACGGTCATTTATATCCATATTATCATCTTCTGGAATTACCACAATTGTTTCCATGTTTGATAACTCCCTAAAGTAATTGACCCGTTTTTTTTCTCTTAATTTCAGAATACATAGATAATGTATTTCATAAAGTTTCGACATTCGATCTGCCAATATTACTTTTTGTATCCTTTTATTTTCATTAAAAGAAATACTGATTGAATTTTGCACCAGCCGCAAGACATTCGTATTTCTGTGATGCTTAACTTCCCAACTCACATTGACGTCGCTGACGAATCAGCCTTTTTTTCACGATTTCCTTTCCGGCTACTGGTATGCTGCGATGTATTTTTCAGTTTTTCTATTATTTTTGAACTATTCCCTTTGGCAGTTTTTGTCCGTTCACGCGTCATCGTTTTTTTCTTTTTTTCCTCTTCTTTTTCTTCGTCATCGAATATGAATCTGGAAGAGATTTATTAATGAAGAACTTTAGAAATGCATAATCACAGCAATGAAAAATTAGTGGTAAGCTGAAATCGTTAATATATCACGTAGGAGCAAAAAGATGACAACTTCTTACTATCTTCGTTTACAGGTAGTAATATTTAATTCATTTAAAGTGCAGTACCTTTGTGGTGCTTTAATATTACGCTTTGGGCGATTCGTAGTCAACATTTCGATGCCGCCATCAATTTTCTCCAATTTCGCTTCTCTTCCCAATTCATTCTTACCAGATTCAGTTACTTTTCCATCCAGTTGTTTTTGCTTCTTTTTGGGTGGTAACCCATCCAGTTCCTGCTTAATGTCATTTTCCGAAAATTTTGCGCCAGATGAACTTGAAATCTGAGAAACAATTTTTGTTGGCCCCACTGAAACGGCAGGATTCGAATTGTATACTGCAGCTGAAGGAGCAAATTGTGTTCGGAGTCTTCTAATTTCCGGAGTTTCAAAAAGAGTTAGATCAACTCGACGACCTAAAAGTACTCGATATGATTACCATCTACCAAAATAACATTTCGAAATCACATAAGGTTACATGGCTAAAAAACTCATAAAGCCACGTCAACCGCTTAAAGTTAGACACTAACAATAAAATCCTAATTGTGAGAAAATTCCTCCTTAAGTACGATTTGAGCAGACAATATCAACTACAAATTTTGACAATTTGATTATGATATATGTCGCACGATATATGTCGCACTACACTTCGGAGCACATTTCAAAAAATTGCATGTCGACATGTCACTTGTTTAGGAAATTTAGTAGCACTGGATAAGAGTTTTGGTTACTGCTTAGAACATTTTAGGAAACATGAAAATTATTATCATTCTTTTTGCAACTACTGCCATAAGAATCCTCCACATTTATGGCTCTCTTCAATATTCTCATCCAATCAAAATCAGGTTAATATGTTTTTCAGAATATAGTTAGAAATTTTTTTTTTAAAATATGTATTTATGAAAAAGTGCTCTTAAAAAAACACAACCCTATTTTGATTCTTTTTTTTTGATCAGAGATATCTTGATCAGAGATCCAGCACTAATTGTTATATTTATAATTAATTAATAATGCAGTAATTTCAAAGCATTTTATTTGGAATCTCGTATTCGGTTTAAGTATCTAATTTCATTTAAGGGTTATTGCTAGTTCTGTACTACAAGTTTATCAGACTGAAATGGAAGCAGCAATTTAATATAATACGTTGATTTTAGGAATATTGACGAATTCCGGAAACTGCGTTTTTGTCAAATGGTTACTAATTTCAACATGCGGTAATTTGATACTATCTTCATCTTTTCCACTTTGAGAAATTCAAAATACATGTCGATTACAGCGATAGCAATAAGGTGCGTATTTATTCCTCGAGAGGTATTTATTCCTCGACGTATTTATTCCTCGTATTATTTATCTCATGTTGCCTTAATTTTATTCGAATAAAATAGACAGGAGAAGGATATAAATGACTTAAGAGTTTGAGAGATCAACTAGAGAAAGGATGGAAAATCTCAAGAATAGTGCTGGCGGTTCTAAATAGGATTACTTCGTATTGCATTGTATTCCGGTTGAAAACATAACAGCGAATTTAGTCATATAAAATCAAAAATAAGATTCTGTGTTCAGTTAGCAATACGCAAACTAAATGATATGGCATAAAAAGTTTGCCAGGCACTATTAATTCTCTTCGTCAAGAGATTGCAATTTTACTCTTTCAGCAGGAAGAATAAGATTGATACTACAATATAATGAGCCAAAAATGCGGAACACACAGACTCAAGCAACTATCAATTATCTTTACAAATACCTACTTTAAAAGTCGCTATCCACATTTCCACTGCTTCCAAGATAAAAAGGCGATAATAATAACTCATTCCTACGATAGCAAAGAGCGATTGAAGCAGATATAGATATTTTGTTTCCTAACTACTCATAATAACTCGAAAACAAATGAACATACGTAAAGTTTTCTGAAAAAATAAATAAATGTTTGCAAAATGTCCCAGAAAAACCACATAATTACCTGTTTTTGCTTCGTGTCTCTGAATTATCAACGCTTGCAGAAGTGCTACTGCTTCATGAATTTTGCCTGGAAATTGCTGCAGATCAGAACTGGGTAGGAATTCAAGTGATTCAAATATTAATTTAAAGCAAAATTAAGTAAGATTTGCTCGACAAGTTTCACCTGGGTAGAGGTCCAGAATGCACCGACCATATTGTGGTATATGAAATATGCCGTAGAACATGACCGATCAGCATAATAAAATGTAAAACGATACTAACGACTTCAACTGCTTAATGTTGCCAATTCATCAAACACCTCTCAACGTTAATGGTGGAAAATCGTTTTAAGATAAAATTTAATAAAACCTTTATTGGTTAAAAAACTTACGGAATTTCACGTTACGTCGTAAGTCTGCAAGCGTTTTTGGTAGAGGAACTTCAAGCACTGCTCGATAACTCCTGCATGAGTTTAGAACAGCTTCAATAGCATCCAGTATTGGTTTGTCATCTTTGACTGAAAGGAGAGATCTAAGAAAATGCTGAGATAGCAATGTTTCTCTTCATCAACTTTAAATATTTGTTACTTTCCTTACAAAAAAGTTTTGCGTATATCAGGAAAAGAAAAAGAATTCTTGCATTTTGGTGTTTCCGTTTTGGCAAATGCTGCCCACAATCCCTCCACTGCTACAACTTCTTGCAACTCCAATCGATTTTTTTCATCTTCTGCAAAAGATTGTTATATTTTTTCTGTTAATTAAACAATCTTTGAGAATACCAAAAAAGATGCACTAAAAAGATAAAAACAGACTCATTCTAGGTAAGAACTGAAAAACAGACGCATCACAAACAGTCGTAGCTAATCAATCTATGTAATAAAACTGACCTGTTAAGTTAGATGGTTTAATTGCCACAGGGCGAGGGATTTCAGCTCTAGCTGTTAAACCAGATCTACCTGACATGCTCGCTCCATTGTCTCGTGTTGCAGCAAGCTGCATCATATTCGTGACCTCTGATGGATCATACTTCACTTGCCCTGTTCTGGAATTCGATGTAGTTGTTGTAGCAGATTTTACGTCATCATCCAGATAGTCCCTCACTTTCAGCAATGTCGAAGAAGTGTTTGAGGACGAAAACTTCTCCGGTGATTTCGATGGTTCTCGGGAACTCATTTCTTTATCCAGTTTTTTTTTGAAAGCTTTGGGTGATTTCGATTCGAAAATAATCCAGTTGTTGGTGAGTGATTCCAAACCATTATCACACAATTCCTCTTTCAATAACACATCCCGCCGTAAAAGAACGTCTACAATAAACAAAAAATTATACTCGCTGCAATGTTCTGTATTCTTTTTAAAAAATGAGTATAGCTGACACTGCATAGTCTGTAGTGCTCTACACGACATGATACTTGACCACATGAGCTGGGAAAATGACCACTAACTTCAAGAATTTCTCGATAATAATAAGATCCTTAGATACAGACCACCAAACAATGTTAATAATCGGACTACTTCATTTAACAGATACTGCTTATTAGCTGATCTTAATCAACTAGAAAAACTGTGTCGAAAAGATCAATATCAAGGTACAATGGTGATAAAATGCGCGAACACTCAGTGATAAAATGATTGAAATTCATTACATAGTTGAGTTTTCAGTGGAAAACATTTACTGTATTTTTACACATAAACGTTTTTATGAAATGGAAAAAAGAAGCTAATTAAGTAGAAATTAAAGTACGACATCAGTTTATTATTAACGAATAAAATAATTATCTCACGAATGATTTGCTCGTCGAAATCATCTGAATCTTTAATCTTTTCATACGTGGCTGCCAAATCTTGAACGTATTGTTCCAAACGATTTTGCATGACATTACGATCAAATAACGACCGCATTATTCCTGATGGCGTTTGCAGATGTTTTAGCACACCTGCCCAACGACGTACTAAGAACTGGACCGAAAAGAGGTGCCTGAAGACATATTTCAAGAACTTCGAAGAAATGTGTTCCTGAGTTGGAAGAATGCTGCACTCAGGAATATTTCTAATGAGAATCAAATGTGTCAACACCACAGCCGAATATAGAAATAAGCATACGCTTTTTTCTTGATAATTTGACCACGCTCTTTCCAAAAATTCGACAGGTCGTCTTCTTGCTCCTCTTCTCTCTCTATTTTATTAGATAATGTCGATTCCGATAACCCAATAACGTTGTCGTCGATTTCAGCCTGTCCCACAGTCTTTCTCTGAAACATGGACGAAAGCTTCATTGTATTATCTTTAAGCGAACAGCTGCGATCATCGTCATATCTCCCCAAAGCTTTTTGTATATTGGCATTCGCACATCGAGATAATGATGGTACAGCGGTCTTCATCAGTACTTCCCTTTTGTAATATTCCTTACGAATTAGTAATTGTTCACATCTTCGAGTTTCCTCTGAAATAGATACACTAATGAATCAGTGCCCTTTCAAACTTTCCATTCATCTCTTAACAATCTCTAAAGGCAAAGGTAAAGACAGCATTCTAATAAGCAAAACATACCCTTTCGAGCTCTCCACAACATTTCTGGTACTAAAGATTTGCTTTCAACGCCTTCCCAACAGTGATCCAGCAACCATCTGAGCTGTCCCACAAGTTGTTTCGCTTTGGTGATTTCTTTATGGTCAGTGAGTTGTTTTCTGAAAAACACAAGCAAATGCAGTCTGAGAAAGACCAAAATGATATAGAGAGGAAATTAATGACACACAGTAGATTAAAGTTAACAAGACTATTTCAAAGATTTTAGACCAAGCTGTTTCATTTAACAGAAGCTTAATTAGAACTTACTTTTGAATGATATCACACCAGTATTTATATTTATCAAGGAAAAAATCAAATTCCTTTCTCCACTTTGACAAGTTAAGATACTGAGAACTGTAGCGCGCTTGAGCGTACACCTAAAAATAATACAACTACGTCAGTTTCATGACTATCAAACATAAAACATATTTGCACAGACTCAAAATTTTTTAAAATTGATGGCAGTGCCATTCCTGCTAATACTGTTTTACCCACGTCCCTCGCAGTCACAGAAAAGGACTACAGATTATTATAGATATGAGCAACCTACCACGTAGTTATACGTCTTTGGAAATATATGCTTGATTTCGCTTGGCTCACTCCAATTCACAACTGGCACATCTTCCGGTGGATGCGGTGGGCACAGTCCATTCCCTCCTCTTCGCCTTGCATTTCGCTGAAAAAGAAAAAAGTTTAGCTCGTGTCTAGTTAATACTATGCTTCAATTTCTGAAGAAACTCGTGCCTTCCGGAATTGTTTAGATATCCGTGCAGTTGCTCCCGATCCTCCATCCGCCACTTTGACCTCTTCTAACATTTTCGGTGCTTCACATCCGCTGACATTCCGATGATAATGGCTATTAGGAGATCGATTTACTGTTTCATCTGAAAAGCGAAACAGTAAATCGTAAATAAAAAAAAAACGTAAATAAAATTAACAGATGAATTTGCTGCAATGAAGGAAAGATTTCGAGCAAGATGGACCTTTGAAATGACATCAGAAATAGATTCCTTCTAGAAAAGACATTTTTGCTTTTACTTAGTTTCAGAAGACACTTATATTTATTAATGGAAATAATTAGAATTTATTAACAGAAGACGAATCACCCTAAAATATTATGGAAATAACGACAAAGACTTATCCGAAAAGAAAAAAAAGCGCCTTACCTTTACTACTTCTTGAAACTTAAATTAAAAATATTGGATGCTTCTAGTATATACTACGATTTCATATTCGTTGAGGTAGTATTTGTCAGATAGTTTATGACCTTCCTCTGCCTCCAGAAAATTTTTGGCGAACAATATTTGGAATGGCTTTAGTAATTAGGGCCCCTCAGAATTCTGTTTTGCCTTTTATGGGATTCGTCCATTGAAAGAAAATGGGAGAAAGAGAGAAAGATCATATAACGAGCACAGCAATAATAAGATATTTTTTATTCAAGCATGAATACGACAGTTAGGGATATTATACTAGAGTAATTATCTTTTAAGCGCATAAGTATCGCTGTCACAGCAGCAACAAATTTAAAAATCACATACAGATTCTTGAAATTTTGTCTCGAAAGACATCAGCTAGAAGCTAGACAACGAAGCTAAACCCGCAGCTAAACACTCACAGACGGACTGAACAATACAAACACTGCTTTAAAATAAGATGTCGCTTATTCTCATATGTAAATGTTTCTTGAGATATACACTACAGGTTTCGAACACAGAGATATTCAAAAAGATTGTACTAGGCAGAAAAAAGACCGGAAGTCGTGTGTCCACTTCATCCTTTCAAGATAAATCTGAGTTACTAAATGACGCAATAATGAATGTCTCACTCATGAAGTTGCATCACATGGCTTAGCAAAAAAAAGTGTCCTAAATTAACCAGTACTGGTTCTCTTCCGAATGAATGAACTGATATGAAAGCATGAATTTACCCGGTATGAAATTTACCCGCACGGGAAAAGAAATCAAGCAAACGCATTCATAGATACGAATTTCTATTGTAACGTAAACCTGGAAATCAATTTCATTTAAATTGATTGTCATTACCATAGCAATTTTCTGGTTGTTCATCAGATTCATTTTCTTCAATGGTCAAAGGTGGTGTAGCAGATCTGCCGGATTCTGCAGTGCTTACAGGTGGTGTAGCAGATTGGTCGGATTCCTCAAACGGTACAAACTGCTGGCTGAGGTCAGTGTACACAGGCAGTTCTTCTGGCATAATTTCCTTTGCCGTTGTAGTACTCATCGGAAATGTCTTCAAAAAGAATTTGAGCAGTAAAACAGGAAGATAAAAACGAGAAGTGCACAGTTACAAACAAATTTCAACAAACTCTGCAACTAAAACAGCCAACAAAGCGTGTCCAGAACGCAAACTATGACCATTTGGCCACCATTCCTAATCAATAAGAACTTCATTTTCGAATGGTAGAGTATGCCACAAAACTGATGAGTGGTGGAAGTGAGCTAGCTTTGTGATATTTTACTGGAACTGTATTAGTCTAAGTAACATCGATAGCATACTATTAAAAGATGTGAATGATAAATCTATGCAGAAAACTAACGAAATATTCCGTTCTGCTACAACATGAACCTAACTTTTGCTTGGCAAATAATTGACAGTTAAACTGCAGCACTGTTGAAAAAAAAAATGTAAGCTGCTGGTAATTTCGCATTTCTCTTTAAAGTGCATAATCAGATTTTACTATCCTTCACTTTATGTCATGCCAACGATGCTGTCCATTTTGAGGATAGGATGAAACTGGAATAAAGATGTACAGATAGGAAGAGTTTCTAAATATATAGCTTGAAAACATATCACAACAACTTATAGCTTCTGAATTCGCACTCTCTCCAATGACTTTCGCATTCGCTGCACAAAGTGTATTATTCGGCAAAAGTACGAAGCACGTCTATTCGAAGAACTATAATACGAACCTGTCCACAGTACCCGAATCATGTAAGTTTCCAAAACCACCATCGCCAGACTCCAGTGACGACAACGAAACATTCACTAACTACAGCTGTGCTTATGTGCTGAGCTGTACTTGATATAGAAAATTTAAGAGAAGCTAAAGTCAACTGCATTCATCATAAACGAAATTTCACAGGATAGAATCAATTCCCCATTCCCGCTTTTAAATCGTATGACACCTTACAACGATTTCCGTCCATATATTTCACCATCTGCAATCTTTCTCAGCTTAAAATGCTGTTCATCGTGTCTAGCAGAAATAAAACCACATTGAAATCCGACAATTCAATAACAATTTTGGACACTATACAGAAGAAAAAAAACAACTTCAATTTAAAAAAGAATTTTGAACATTTAATCGGTGACAAGCTCATGTACATGAATTTAAATGTCAAATGTGAATCGGTTACAACATGCGACGACGATTATTATAAATACAGATGACAAAATTAATCTGAGTTTCGGATGGAAAGCCAATATTTAACGCAATATGGCTGGATCATTTTTGGTGACTGGAGACGACTGATGCACGTTATCAGTCGTTTGAGAACGGAGAAGCTACTAGCATGGTAGGAATACCTCTGAAATAATGATTATCCAAGGTAAGGATAGGAAATGTGATGGGCGGGAAGAGATGTGTAACTAAAACTACCGAAACCAAGCAAGGGTGCGTGAGGGTGCTTCCCATCCATCATGATTCGTCTCACCGGCATTGTGAGTCGGAATCCTATCCAACGGTTGTGGTTTTTTTTTCTTCTAACAAACCACAGTATCTATGGAAGACCTCCGCCAGGCTGCCCCATAATCTTTGACCGAGAAAGACACGTCTTACCTAGCAGTACTTACCGGTATCCTCACACAGAATAAGTCATACCAAAGTGCATATCTCTCATTTATGTCCTTTCCTTCACTCGCTCGTAGACCTTTCGGGAAAATACTCTTGTTTCCGAAAAGAAACTATTGCATGAATCCAATTGCGCACTTTTACCCTAACTTTAGAAGACTTTTAACAGCAAATACCAGTATCTGGACTTCAATCATCCATTTCAGCTCTCCTTACTAATTTAACCAGCCTTATTTGTTTGGCAATTGCTCAGCATATACATGTTCATACAATACCACTCAAATCGATATATGTTCAGTTGTCGATCGACAACCTGACTAATTGTAAACGGGAAAATATACAATTGACCAGAAGCATAGCAGGAGATACCTGAATTCCCCGTAAAATTTACTACCATCATAACACACCAACGATTTAGTGCTACACAAACCGCGTCCTCTAACAGCTAGAAAACCATTAGCGAGCGAGTTCGCGTGGGTCAGGGGTCATGTTAGGGCTTCCTTGTGGAATATGTTTAGGGCTTCGATACATCAGAATTATCAAAATTAGATTAAAATTTCAGCAATGTAGAACGGAGACAAAAGCTAAGGTATGGAGAATTCATGATTAAAAGGAACTAGGGACTGAATGGAGGATAAACAGATCCTTTCAAGCGTAATACAACCATCGTCAACACTGTTTCCTTCATATAGAGTTGCATAAGGAATATCACTGGAACTTCGAGAATAAGAACCCAAGGAACATCGATACAAAGTTCATCGCAACCATAAACTTGATTGCCATGTCGGGAAGTAAAAGTTATTCCACGACGTCACTTGGTCACCAACAATAAATTACTCCACAAACCCTTTTCTAGGAGTGAAAGTTTGAGTGTAAGCAACACATTTTCGTCATCTTTTTTATTCATCTTAAGCATATAAATTCGCTACAACACGTGAGCCGCTTAAAATATATCGCACTGATACGTCAGAAAATAACAGTAATAAGCACATAGTATAAAATCGACAAATATGGATAAGCAAGTAAGATTTCGATCGAAATAAGGTAAAAGACTTGTACGAATAGTGCAAGTAACCATACAGAGTAACCAGACATTTGCGACCGGACATTTCCGATCCATCCATCAATGGGTTAGCACAGTCAAAGATTCCTAAAAAAAATGGCATATTTCTCCCGAAAATACATAACAAAAAGTGCATGAGTGCCAGGAAATCCATAAGCAAAAACTATGATCACTCTTGCAGTGATTTTAAAAAAACACACATCATTGTTTATCTCAAGTCGGCGATCATGTTGGATGGATTCTCAAGATACCGCTTTACTTGGTTACTAAAACGTGCTACGGTGGCACCGTCAATAACACGATGATCTGCAGCCCACGAAAACTTTACCACACTGGCAGCACAAACCTGTCAAAAAACGAAATTAATCCTCAGGTTTTGACCAACAAATTCCCATAAATGTTCGGAAGAGGAAGATGTCAGCACCCAACCTTAATTTCAAAATCGTTTTTTCTCGCGAATTCTCTTGCAACATCACTCAGTGAAGTCAACAGGATAGTCACCCATCTGTCACATTTAAAATACAAACTATCAGTCTCAAGTGTGAGGAAACCGCAATATACATGGCGGGAAGAATGCATACTGATGCAGATAATAGTGACGAATGCAAGAAAAAAAATCCTGAAGTAACTCACATTCCCCTGTCTATCAAATCGAGGTAATTTTGAAATCTGTCCAATTGCTCCAATCGCAAGCTGAGGTGGCATAATCACCGGAACAAGATAAGTACCACCAATCTGCAAATTTGACAAAAATTTTTCATATTATTCTTTCGTTGTAACACCTTAGAACTAAGGGAGAACCCCTCCGGTCCAATATTACGTGAATGAGATAATTGCGGAATCTTTTCGTAGATGTTCGTAGTTTTTCGTAGTTGCCAAATGTCGTCGTTTTACTATATAACTTAACTAAACGTAGCAAGAACTGACCTAACCTACTGCACATTAGCTACAGCATTCCAGTGAAACCTAACGCACAGCTAAGATCACACGGATTCGAGTTCAATCTTTTTCGTTACTTGTTGGTAACCACAAGGTTTGATCAAATTTAACTGCATTTTTCACGTATACTGTCATTGCACATTTGCTATTCCCGCTTTTTTTCCACAGCAGGATGTAAACGAGCAGTGCTGCTGACTTAATTAGATTGCTGCCACCACAAAGATCTTTCATATAATCGCGTGCCAAAGAAAATTTGTCTTCAAATCTTTGGAACTAAATAATTTACCAACAGAAAATACTCTCGAATGAACAAATGTGTATGTTGGTGTATCGAATGAATGCTTTAGAAGACCTCTGACTAGTCAATGTAAATCACTTGAAATTTTTTGAAATTTCATGCAAATTACCGCCACGAAAAATGTGCTTACCATGCCTACATTGGATAATGTAAATGTTCCATCCTTCAGATCTTCTGGATCTATTTGCATTTTACTCCCAGCTTCTTGAAGACGGTTTAACTCCGCAGCAATTTCCCACAGCGTGAGCTGTTCACAGTGTTTGATGTTTGGTACCACAAGACCTTCAGGAGTATCCATAGCTATTGATATGTTATGCGATGCCTAAAACTGATAGAGTAATTGGTACACGTAAGACAGTGCCATTAATTTGAACACTTAACCTAAAATATCTAGTATCTGAAATCAAAACACATTAATGCATTGGGTAAGATGTTTTCCTTACTTCATCTATCATTGATAAACAAATCTCGGACTTTTGCAGAAAGAGATACTCCAACAACCCTTCGATATAGGACACGAAACGTCATGATCAACATTTCAGAGATTCGCATTTATATTGCAAAAAATATCTGTTGATCAAATTCTTATCTGTTTTGCTACCATTGGAGAAGGAAGATTTCTACCAGCAGCAAAAATATAATGCGAGATGTTGTATCAAACCTACAGCGCACATACGCAAACGGAAACTTCTTTCTGTTTCGTTTGTGACGAAAATATTTAAACCAATGAAATAAAATCATTAGAGGAAGAGATAATTTATCATTCGAAATTAGCTCATAAAAAAGCGCGCTAATTATCCCACTTAAAAACGAAATCAAATAGACTTTGGGGATGAAAACAACTTACTTTACAAATAACATTCTCTACATTTTTGTCCATTACAGCGTTCAGTTTTGGAAATTTTTTCAGAGCAAGTGAGACAGCTTTGATAATAATTGGCATAAAACTCATACGAACACTGTGTGTTACTTCAAATTTTTTCAGCTCCACCCGCATTGTCATTATTCGATCAAAATTCACCTTGAAATGAAATTTAATCAGAAAACCCTTCAGATATCGCATTTTCTTTGTTGCATAACAAAAAATCTAGCTTGAACAGACATCCTATTTTCTAGCTCGTATTCATCTCTTTGATTCATTATATTGAAAACAAATCCAAACATTTCACGTATTTCAAACTGCATATGCAAATTTTCCAACTTCGTGAAACGGAATTGAAGATAGAAATGTACTATAATACTAAATAAACATTACCTCATCGCAAAAGCCAAAACGTGGTATTTTCAAAGACTCAGTCATCGACGTGACCATAGTACGAGCATAGCTACTTATAGGGATCATCTTATCTTCTTTCAGCATTTCATACTGAAAATATGGTGGATTTCACAACTGTGCGAAGTCTAATGAGAGACATCTCATTGGATTAGAATTTTAAGAGTGCAGAACGCAGCCTGATAAACTATTATCGTAAGATGATAGGAAAGTGAACCCAATTTATTGCTATAGCTAAATAATTCATTTCCATCATGAATTGACATTAACATTAATATATATATATATATATATATATATATATATATATATATATATATATATATATATATATATATATATATA